TGGTCTGTTTCCCAGGCTGGAGTGCAGTGGTGTAGTCACGACTCACTGCAGCCTCCACCTCCTGGGCTCAAGCAATCCTTCCACCTCAGCCTCCTGAGTAGCTGGGACTACAGGCATTCACCACCACACGCAGCTAATTTTTATATTTTTTGTAGAGGGGGGTCTTTGCCATGTTGCCCATGTTGGTCTTGAACTCCTGGGATCTGCTCACCTCGGCCTCCCAAAGACCTGGGGTTACAGGAGTGAGCCACATGCCTGGCTAATTTTTATATTTTTTGTAGAGATGGGGTTTCACCATGTTGCCCTTTCTGGTCTCGAACTCCTGGGCTCAAGCGACCCGCCTGCCTTGGCCTCCCAAAGTGTTGGGATTACAGGCATGAGCCACCATGCTGGGCCTGGCTAGTTATCTTTTAGTGGTGGAAAAAAGGGAATTTTCCTGGAAAAAGAAGTATTGCCAGAGTGTGGAGTCAAGCTGAAAGAACCCCTTACTTACCATGTAGAGTATTGAGTCATTTCTCATGCAAGCCGATTTTTGTTCCAGAAAACATTGGCTGAAGCTTCTTGGCTTTGACGTTTCCCTCTTTGGGTATTTTCTTGTAGATGGAGGAATTGATTGAGGGCGTTCGCTGGGCCTTTATTGACATGCTAGAGAAAGAAAATGAGTGGATGGATGCAGGGACGAAAAGGAAAGCCAAAGAAAAGGTAAGGAATCCTTTTGATGAAAAAATAAGACTTTCAGCTTAATGGATTTTCATGCTTGACATTGACTCTCTGGTTGGTTTTTATATTGACTGAACTGTTGACTCTGAATGACCCCAGAGTTAGCTGTCTGCTTTTTGATGACTACATAGATTGTTTTTTTTCACCAGGAGGTAAGAGAAAATAAGATCAGAATTTTTCTAACTGCATTTTCAAATACCTTGCATTTTGGCCTTCTCTCCTAATTGCTGTCTGTAAGAGGCACATGGCTTGCTGCCTGGTGAATTGTGTTATAAACCATCACTGGATATGGCAGAATGCAGAGCAGTGGGGAGTCACAGGGAGCAGCTGGAAGAAGAGCCCCTAAGACACCAAGAAGAAGAAAACCCATATTGGCCACATATCCTTCTGCTCTTTGCATGATGCATGCAAATGTCCTGGGGCAAATCCTTCCCTGTAACCAAGCAGATCTCCTTCCTGACCCATCATTTGCCATAAATGACCCAAATAGTGTACTTATAAACCACAGACCAGTGTTCTACCATTGCTTAGGACTACAAAAGTATTTCCTAATAGAAGTAGACACTTGCTGGGCCTTGTTAAATGTTCTCATGCTATGCAACATGATAAGGGAATAAAGGAGAAAAGTATTGACAGCCATGCTGTTTAAAAGTAAAAAACGGGCTGGGTGTGGTGGGTCACGCCTGTAATCCCAGCACTTTGGGAGTCTGAAGCAGGCAGGCAGATAACTTGAGGTCAGGAGTTTGAGACCAGCCTGGCCAACATGGTGAAACCCCATCTTTACTAAAGATACAAAAAAATTAGATGGACATGGTGGCATATGTCTGTAGTCCCAGCTAATCAGGAGGCTGAGGCAGGAGAATCGCTTGAACCCAGGAGGTGGACATTGCAGTGAGCCGAGACTGCGTCACTGCACTCCAGTCTGGGTGACAGAGCGAGACTCAGTTTAAAAAAATAAGAAATAATAATAAAAAAAAAATAAGGGGACCCATCTTATATTTGAGAGATTCTGATAGAGCTAGAGCTCAAGTGGGTAGGGTGCACCTGCTAGACTCTTGACGGATGCTACGTTGCAGCTGAGAGGTTCTGAAATTAGGAGCATTTCTTGTGTCTAGAGAGATTTTTGAAAGCTTCCTGATTATGGCAATCACCTGGGTTGCCTGGATGCTCTGGCTTTCTGGGCCCCTTCCCAGCAAGGCCTGGGTGAATGGATCATGGATGCAGGCTGAACATGTGTCACTTTAGCCAGTCTCCGGGTGATTGTTATCACCAGGCAGGTCTGGGGAAACACTGCTTAGAGTCATATTGAGTCACACTGAGCACAAATATTTTTACTTTATGGTCAGGAAACAAAGCGGGGCAGCATTCTGGGAATGCTTAACCTTGTTGAAATGAGAGCATGCAGAGGTTTAGTGAGGATATTTTCTAGCGCTTTAAACTGATGGTACTGGAGGCAGATAAACATTGCCATAGATACTTTTGTCAATAGATGTGAAAAGGCTGTTTGTTCAGTGTTTATGCTGAAGCAAGAACTGGGATGGTAGGTGGCAAGGCAGTGTGGAAGGAAGACAAAGGGTAAGTCTGATTTTTTCCCTGTCAAAAATCTGTCAAAGCTGTCTTCAGTCACGTAAGGCACAAGCTGATGAAGGCAAGAGCACATGGGCTGTGATGGGAAACTCTCCAGATGCTAGACAACTTTCAACACCAACGTATTGTTGTTTTATGAATGCTTCATTTATTTGCTCAGCTAGCTTGTGGTATGTGGAACAGGATGTGTCTTGCCCTGGGCAATCGAGTGCTTAGTGTATTAAGGGCTTTATCCTAGCCTGACCCCACATGGACCAAAGAGATGCTTGCATGAATTAGTACAGGACCACCAGGGTGGAGGGTGCGTATGCATGCGTGTTGGGGGTAATGCGTTATGAATAGCTGGAAGCCAGGGGAATGTTTTGGGAAGTGCAGTCAGTTCTTTGAGCAGTGTGGATTGCAGTTGCCTCAGGGAGCTTTTCTGAGTTGCATAAGGGAGTGAGTGCCTCACAGTTGGGCCTTCTAGGCAAGTGGCCCATGGGTCTTGAAGCAGGACTATTCTCAGTCCTTCTAATATTAGACGTGTTCCTATTTGCCTCCCGAGTTGCTCTCCAGTCTTCTATTTTATTTCAATGAGAGCTGTCAGTTTTTCTTCTAAAAGTGCTCTTTGAACACGCTGCTTTCTTTGAGCTGAGTTCAACCTGCCAGGAACTCTGCTAGTTCTACGACAGGTACAAATATCAAAGGCAGATTGGATCTCACAAGGTTCCCCGACTATATCTTGCATTTCAGAGTTCAGGGAAGTTTCTTTAACGAAAGGCAAGAACAAGGGATGTTGTCCAAGCGATGTCAGCAGTTCTTTGAAGTGAGTCCTTCCCTGGACCCCAGAAGATGTAAATTCTGTTTTTCAACATTAAATGAACATGCAGTTCTGAAAATGACCTCTGGGTGGAGCTCGTGGTACTCACAAGGAACACTTGCGGCATTGAAAGCTTTTATGCAGCTTTCTACTCCGGGGTTGTTTTTGAAATAATTTTTTTTCTTGCCCTTTTCCTCTGCTGTCCTCGATTTGATTACCTTTTAATAGTCAACAAGAAAGGAGAGGCTCTGCCTAATAATTCCTTGAATCTTAGTTGGAAATCTCTCCCTATCTTAGGGCTTTGTCTTTCTGATACCAAGTAGCCCCTGCATTAAGAAAGGATTTGCCTGCATTTGAAGTGGAGGTGAATAACTCGCCTGCTCTTCCTGGTATGACTTGGCACTGTTCTTTGGGCATGTGTTGTATGCAGTATATCACCCAGGCGGAAGATTTCTCATCAATAATAGTGCCCACACTGGGCCAATGCTGAGTCACTTGGCAACCCATTGGGAAAGCTGGAAAAATGTTCTGATTTGTGAAAGGGAGAAGCTTTTCTTTCCCTCACCATGAAGCTCTGAACTGCAGATAATTGCAGAGCCTCCTAAGAAGTGTTAACCTCAACATTCTGTAGTGACTGACCTCCTGAACCGGGCAGGTACAGAAAGCTGCAGTGCTCTGAGGCCTAATACCTTGGCTTTTGTGGCTGTGACCTCGTCTCAAAATGGAAGTGTGTGGCTGTGGCTTTGTCGTACTCTTTGCTAGGGGTGATCACGGTAAAAGATAAATGAGGATGCCTCTGCTCCCATGAAGGGTAAATTTGTTATCTCTGTCTTCCTGCCTTTTCCTGCTCACCTCTTAATAGGTCACGAGTGGTTTTTGTATTGTGAAACTGATGGTGTAGGTTTCAAGTGGAAATTTAGTATTGTGACATAAGCATCACTTTCTGTTTAGGATTCCCTGTTCCCTGCAAGCATGTGCTTTTATTGTAAATAAACATCGAAGGACAGGGAATCTGTTGTTTTTCCGATGACCACAACTATTGAATGAGTGTCAGGCGATAAAAGCATGATTTTAGGGGTGTCTTCTGGAGGATTTGCCCTTGCCAGATTGGAAGAGAAAGATCTCAAGGTCGCTACATCAGGATTCTGACTGAGGCCTGGCAGGAGAGCCGTCAGATCAGGAGGAGCAACTTCCTGAGCTTGGCTTGTCTATAGCTGGATTTGACTGGATAGCCAAAAGCTGGATCCCTTCAGAATTATTTGTTTGTTTGCATTCTTTGCCCCAAGGACCTAAGTTTTTCAGGTCACATCCAAAGAAAAATACCAGGATGGGTCTCACAGGATGGGACTTGGCCATAGAAGGTGCAGAGAAGTCCGATGCATGGTGCAGTCTGTTGGCATGTGACTCCCACACACAGGCTTTGAGTGGGAGAGTTTTCTGGCAGAGGGCAAAGCAGAGGTGTCTCTAAGCTCCACCAGTGCTAGGTACTGGATTTCCCCCAGGTATAAGGTCAGTGCCCTGCTTATATCCTGAGCCTGGTGGTTCTCAAGGTGTGGCTCCAGACAAGTAGCAGCAGTAGCACCTGGAAACTCATTAGAGATGCAAATTCTTGCATCCCCACCTGCTGAGCTCTGGGAGTAGGGCTCAGGGCTTTGTGTTTTACCTGGTGATTCTGCTGCATGAAAAAGGTTGGGAACCCCTGCCTTGTCCTTACCACTTCACGGCACACCTGCCTGACGTCCAACTGCGGCCTCCTGCATTTTGGCCAGGAGCATCCTCTCCCTGCTACTGCCTGCTTTGCTACTCATAAAGAGGGCCCACAGAATGGGGAATGACCACAGCTGCCTCAGAAGTCCTCACCCAGCAGTTGATGGGAGTGGCTGTGTGTGGCCCTGCTCCTTCATCCCTCGAGTGTGTGTTCCACGTGGGCTCTGGGAGCTTTTCCAGTGGGCTAGAGCTATTATTCTAGCTAAGATAATCTTTGCTGACTGCCTTTCTTTCTCTACTTGCTTCCTCTTTCTCCTACTGGTGTTTGTTTTGCTGCCCAAGTCAACTGCTCGCAGTTGAATCCTTGTCTTGGAGTCTATCCATGCTGGTCTATCAGTCAGTGTCCCTGGTGAGCCCTGGAGTAGATGCCAGAAGCAGGGTGACTGCATTCTTGAGCATTAATGCAAATACGCAAGACTCTGTAACTGGAAAGGGCAGGAGGCAGTTTGATGAAAGCCCTTCCCTTTCTTTTCTCCTACAAAACAACTGAAAATGAACAGTGAGGTCAAGCAGGAGTGAAGGTACCAAGGGGAAGTGACAGCCAGATGCGGAGTTGGGATTAGTAAGAAAGGAGCCCCTTCTCTCTGGCCCCATGTCTCTCAGTCCCTCTCACATACATGCAGGCCAAGATGGCGGCCTTTGTACTTGAATCTCTTTCCTCTCAGTGGCCTCAACAGGAAGTACAGTATAGAGGTCAAGAGTATAGACAGGAGAGAGAGTGCCTAGTTTCCAAGCCAGTTTCTACAATTTAGTGGCTGTATGATCCTTTGGAAATTACTTAACCACTTCCACCCTCAGTTTTCACCTCTGTAAACTGGGGAGATTGGTC